TCCTTGTATAGGGAAAGATAAAATTAGATCTATATGTCACATCACACACACACACAAATCTCAAATGAATTAGGGATCTAAATTTTAAGAATTAAACCATATAATGCCAAAAAGGCGCATTCCTCTTTAAACTTAAATTAAAACCTTTACCTATACAAGGATTCAAAATCCAGTGGCAACATAAGAAAATATTAATAAATTTACATAAAAATAAAAAAGTGTTCATGACAAAAAAAAACAATTAATGAACACTGAGGAAATATCTGACATATACATCACAGACAAAATGTTAATAGCCTAAACATATAAAGAACTCTTTAAAACTAAGGGATTAAAAAATAACAATAATACTAATAACAGAATAATAATAATCTTTTAAATAATAGTTTAAAAGATTAAACAGATAACTACTTCAACAAAAATAATCGCAATATATTGTGGGGTTTACAACATGATGTAAACATAAAATGCAGGACAATGAAGATCAACTCCAGTTCCCAACATCAGGGACAGGGCTTGTTCTGGGACATACTGGATAAAGCTCAGAACTGACGGCTAGCAGTGCAAGCCCAAGGTAGGCTCAAATATAAACTCATAATCACTCTTCTGTTCCCTCCTGTTGACTAGTGTTTTTTGTTTGTTTTTTTCAAATGCATTTTTATTGATTTCAGAGAGAGGAAGGGAGAGGGAGAGAGAGATAGAAACATCAATGATAAGAGAGTCATTGATTGCAGTCCTGTGGATTGGTTCTTAATTTAAATACCTCAGTTTACTCAGGGAGTGGGTCTTAGCCTGAACCTAGTAACTTCACTATGGTTTGCCTAGAAAAGAAGCTTGGTGTTACCTGGAGGTTCAACTGGCAAAGTGGAGAATTATTCCTTGGCTTATTAATTAGTGCCTAATAGAATTCCTAGTTGACAAAGGCACCATCACACTTAAAAAATGAGTATCCTTGTAGAAAAGTACAGGAAAAAAACAACTTTTTATATAGGGATTGTCATGGGGTTAAAAACTTCTTTACAGCATGCGACAAAGCTTAAGGAAATGATAATTAAAACAAATTAGAATTGGTAGTGTTGTATTCTAAAAAAAAAAAATTAAATAAAGCTAAAAACAACAAATAAATGAACCAATTTCTTCTCTCCCTTTGACCCTTCCCCTACATACCTCACCCGCCTGAGATTCAGAAAGTTCCAGCAGGAAAGGAATTTCTGTGTCAAAATTAGCAAAGAAGCTAGCCCACTGATGTTCAAAAGCCACCAACTCCTAGGAAGAAAATGAAAAATGTGTTTAATCATTTAAAGGAGGTACTATAGAAAATCAGAATTATGAAACTGCATCTGATCTCTAAATACCAGACCATTTAAATATGTTGTTTTAAGAGGTGGTAGCAAAATACTAATACATGCTACTACGTGGATGAACCTCCAAAACATGCCAAGTGAAAGAAGCCAGATATAAAAGGCTACCTGGTATATATATGGTCCATTTATATGAAATACCCAGAAAAGACAAATCTATAGAGGCAGAAAGTAAATAACTGGTTTGTATGGGGCTGGAAGTAGGAATGGAGATTGACTGCAAGTGAGCACAATGGAACTTTCTGGATTGATGAAAATGTTCTAAAATTCAATTGTGGTGATGGCCGCATAACTCTACATTTACTAAAAATCATTGAATCATATACATAAAATGGGTGAATTTTATGGTATATAAATTACACTCTAATAAAGCTGTTTTTAAAAAGGACAGTAATGGCCTCCAATTCCCTTACTTGATTTTATTTTTCATTAAGTTATTTTTTATTGATTTTTATTAAAAATTTGTTTAAAAATATGTTTCTATTGATTGTAGAGAGAGAGAGGAAGGGAGAGGGAAAAATATTGATCAAAAACATCTACTGGCTGCCTCTTGCACACCCCCTACTGGGGATCAAGCCTGCAACCCAGCATGTGCCCTGACTGGAACTTGCACTGGCAACCTCTCGGCCCAACCATTGAGCCACACCAGCCAGGGCTTTTAAAAATTGATATTTAGAGAGAGAGGGAGAGAGAATTGTTGCTTCACTTATTTATGCATTCATTGGTTGATTCTTGTATGTACCCTGACTGCGGATTGAACCCGCAACCTTGGTATATCAGGACAAGGCTCTAACCAACTGAGCTACCTGGCCAGGGCTCAATATCTTAGCTTTTATTTTATTTATTTTTAATGTTTTTATTGATTTTAGAGAAAGAGGGAGGGAGAGGGAGAGAGAGAGAGAGAAACATTGATCAGCTGCCTCCTGCATATCCTCTACCTTGGATCAAGTCTGCAACCTGGGCAATGTGCCCTGACTAGGAATTGAACTAGTGACCTCTTGTCGCATGGGACAATGCTCAACCAACTGAGCCACACTAGCCAGGGCTTATTTTATTTTTTGTTATATAAAATAATCACAGATTTCATTCATTCAAATAAATTAACTAAAAGTATGTATGTACATATGTATGTGTGTATATATATACACACATATATATACATATATGCTTTAAATATAAAGTTATTGTGGGATGTGAATTAGTAGGCAAATAATACATGATTTTAATTTAGAGTTTACAAATTCAGTAGTTGATTTTAGATGGTAATTCTAGGTTCAATAGAAGTTTCCCCTATCACAATATTCTTTTTGTTTTTAAATTTTTTAAATCATTTTTTATTTTTCAATTATAGTTGTCATACAATATCATATTAGTTACAGGTGTACAACCCAGTGATTAGACATTATATAACTTACTAAGTGATCAACCTGATAAATTTCATACCCATCTGATACTATGCATAATTATTAGAATATTGACTATATTCCCTATGTTGTATTTTACATCCCCGTGACTATTCTGTAACTACCAATTTGTACTTCTTAATCCCCTCACCTTTTTCACCCATGCCCCCAACCCTCCTCCCTCTCATCTGGCAACCATCAAAATGTTCTCTGTATCTGTGAGTCTGTTTCTGTTCTGCTTGTTCATTTATTTTGTTTTCTAGATTCAATTGTTGATAGATATGTATTTACTGCTATTTTATTGTTCATATTTTTAATATTTCCCCCCCTTCTTTTTAAAGAAGACCCTTTAATATTTCATGTGATACTGGTTTGGTGGCGATAAACTCCTTTAACATTTTCTTGTCTGGCAAGATCTTTATATGTTCTTTAATTCTAAGTGATAGCTTTGCTGGGTAGAGTAATCTTGGTTGTTGGTCCTTGTTTTTCAACACTTCTAATACTTCTTGTCTCTCCCTTCTGGCCTGCAAAGTTTCTGTTGAGAAATCAGCTGACAGTCCTAAAGGGAGCTCCCTTGTAGGTAACTAACTGCTTTTCTGGTGCTTTCAAGAGTCTCTATCTTTAACCTTTTGCATTTTAATTATGTGTCTTGGTGTGGGCCTCTTTGGGTTCATCTTCTTTGGGACTCTGCACTTCCTGGACTTGTATGTCTATTTCCTTCACCAGGCTAGGGAAGTTTTCTGTTATTATTTTTTCAAATAGATTTTCAATTTCTTGCTCTCTCTTCTCCTTCTGGTACCCCCATGATACGAATGTTGGTATGCTTGAAGTTGTCCCAGAGGCTCCTTACACTATCCTCATTTATTTGGGTTCTTTTTTCTTTCTGCTGTTCTGATTGGGGTGAGTTTTTTTCTTTTGCTTCCATATATTCCAAATAACTGTTTTGTTTCTTGGCTTCATCTACTCTGTTGATTCCCTGTAAAATATTCATTTCAGTTAGTGTATCCTTCATTTTTGACTGGTTCTTTTCTATGAGTCTCATGTCCTTTTTATGCTGTTGAAGTTCTCTGTAAGTTTACTCTTCCTCTAAGTCATTAAACAGCCTTATAACCAGTATTTTGAGCTCTGCATCCAGATTGCTTGTTTCCATTTTGTTTAGTTCTTTTTCTGGAGTTTTGTTCTGTTTGTCATTAGGGACATATTTCTTTGTCTCATTTTGTGAGCCTCCCTGTATTTGTCTCTGTGTATTAGGTAGAGCTGCCTCATCTCCTGGGCTTGGTAGAGTGGCCTAATGTAGTAGGTGTTCTGTAAGGTTCAGTGGCACAGCCTCCTGGTTCACCTGGCATTCCAGGTGTGTCCCCTGCAAACCCTTGTGGGCCAGGTACACCCTCTTCCTGTTGTAGTTGAGCCCTGATTGCTGTTGGCACATCAATGGCAGGGATTTACCTAGGCCTATCAGCTCCAAGGACTGATTGTGACTACCATGGAGGATCAGCTGTGCAGAGGCCTGCCCCATGGAGCAAGAGTTACTTCAGCAGGGCTCTGGTCTGCCTCTTGAGTGTGTCATTTGTGGAGATGGTTGGGTGGTGCTTCAACATGGTCTGAAGCTGTCCACGGGGTGCACTGGCTCTGGGGCTTCCTGAGAGGTACAGGCCAAGGTCAGCCTCTGCCCGTGTTCTGCCTGGGGCTATCTGGCATGAGCTACAAAGTGATCTGAAGATGGCTGCTACTTGTGCTGGGCTTGGAGGTGCCCAGGAGAGGCCAAGCTGTGAACCAAGGCCAGCTGCTAGTGCTGGGCCTGTGGCCACTTAGTGAGAGGTACAGGGCACGCCAAGGCCAGCTGCTTGAGAGATTTTAGGAAAGTCTGAAGCATAAGCCAAGACAGGCCATTTGTGTGGAAAAGCCACTGGAAGCAGCTTGGATGGGCCTGCAAGTCGGTGGGGTGGAGTCTCAGGGAATCACGAGGGTGGGGCGACCGGTATGAGCCAGGTTGATGGAGATTCAGATATGGCACCTGCCAGCTGGCTCTGTGGGGGGATGGCTCAGAAAAGGAACAATGACCTCTGTCAGTACTTCTGTCTGGGATAAAGCTGCCCCACTGGCTCTTGCCCTGATGCGAGACAGTTCAGTTACTGCCCATATGTCCCTGGTGCCTTTTGAGCTGCTGCCCCAGCAATGTAACTTGGAGGGAAAGAGTCTGAGTAAGTTTGTGAAGGCCCTTAAAGAGGAACTGCCTGGGACTCCAGCAGCCTTCTGTCTTATTCAGCCACAATCCCTGCTGGTTTTTATAGCCAGAACTTATGGGGACTCCTCTTCCTGGCATGGGAACCCTGGGCTGGGAAGCCTGGTGTGGGCCTGGGATCCTTTGTTCCTCAGGGGGTACCTCCACAGTGGAGATATCCCTCCCGATTTTTATCCACCTCAGGTGAGCGTAGGGCTAGCCTGTTCTGTATCTCTGCCCCTCCTACTAGTCTCAATGTGGTTTCTTCTTTATACCTTAGCTGTAGGACTTCCATTCAGCTAGATTTCAGGCAGTTCTGAATGATGGTTGTTCTGTAGTTTAGTTGTAATTCTGATGTGGTTGTGAGAGGATGTGAGTACCACATTTTCCCAGTGCCTTACTTTAGCAATTCTTTTTGGAGATGAGTTATTTTTGAGGCATCTACAGGACTGTACAACATCTAGTGCCAAAAGGGTCATACCAGTGAAGCTTCATTCAAGGACAAATTAGTTGACTTTAGTTATAAGTTCGATGGATCCTGCGGTGGCTGGTGGCCCAGAGCTATCTCCTCTCTCACAACCTCCTTTTAGTTGTTGCAGGAGTATGAGGAACTCTGCACCTTTCCCAGTTGACTCTCCTCTATGTGCAGCCTGCTTCCCTCTCCCTTCCCAGCTGCTTTTCAGCCTCCTCTCTAGTCTCATTTCTATTCCCAACCACCACACATTGCTTTATGCTTCTGGCTATTCTTTAAGGCATCATCAGTTAACCAAAAAATACCACCTATGGCTTGCTTAAGATACAACATCTCTGCTTATTTTGAAGTTGCTGATAATTTGTACTCAGTCATCTTCACTGTCCATCTCATAGTGTAAGTGTATGTGTATTGGGCATCCAGTCTAATGCCTTGCTCACAGGAGGCATCCTGTTTGCTGCCCTAAAACTGCCTGGCCAGACCTACGCTCTCCTCTATTCTTTTCTTGTAGGTGAGGATACATAACTACTCAGACCTGTGGACTCCATATTAGCTACATATTGACTATACTTCTGGCCCTAGGCATAAAGCACAAGGGATCTCTGCTGGGAATACTTAATGTAAACAACATTCTCAAGTGCTTTACTACTTGCTGTCCAGATGATATGTGTATATATTTATGTATATACATATACATATATTACATATAGATTATATACATATATCTAAAATTATTTTCAGTAATCATGTAGGTGACAATTCTGATACTGTTTTCAGAATGTTTTATAATAATGTAGGATTAAAAAAAT